GACCTACATTGTTTAGCCATGACAAAAGGATCAGTGTGCACTTTCATTCTCAGCTCCCTTAGAAGTATACATGTCTAAGCTGCTTGAGAGGTGATAGAAGGTTAACAGTCAAAGCCTACTGCCTCAGGAGACACTAGCTACATGTGCTTGAGGATCAAAACCCGAGTGAGTGAGTGAGTGATTGTGTGTGTGTGTGTGTGTGTGTGTGTGTGATTATGGTTTTATGCCGCTTTTAGCAATATTCCAGCAATATCACAGTGGGGGCCACCATAAATGGGCTTCATATAATGTATCCATGTGGGGAATCGAACCCAGCTCTCCAGCATGACAGGCAGACACTGTAACCCCCACATGGGTACAATGCGTGAAGTCCATTTCTTGTGTCCCGACCATGATGTTGCTTGAATATTGCTAAAAGTGGAGAAAACCACACTCACCAAAGCCCTAGAAATTTACATGTCAAGGTGTCATCCTTGACTTTGGTCCAGCTACTCTCACAATTAACAAGTAATACCACTGTAACCAGGGTTTTACACGTCACGCAAATGTGCGTCCAATACGCACAAATTTTGAGAATGGACACAATATTATTCAGTGTACCCACAACACATCTATGACTTGTGTTAAGTGTTTGTTTGTTTCTATCAGAGCAGTTACATGCATCATTTCACCCATCAGTCCACATGATCGATGATACATTCCAGGCTCTACATTATTTTCATCAAAACATACAGTTCTCTACACAGGTACTTCACAGGACCCTTATATTGCCTGCAAAGACCCTTAAACTAATAATTAGGGGTCCACAGGAGTCAAATGCTGTGAGAGTTGTTTTCGCAGGAAAACTGAGACCAATCACTAGTTAATATTCACACAAAAGTTATGAAAGAGATTGTTCAAAAAACTAATGCGACAACAATGATCAATCAATACGATGGTCGTTGAAAACCTTGAAGAAAAACTTGACGTTTCACTTCCAGTCTGTCACACGTCTTGTACGTGGCCCATACAGAAAAATTACATTAAGGGTTTTCAAACAACTGTGCTGTGATGTCACAGCCAAGGGAGATAATCACTTAACTTCACAGGCATACCACTAAAGATAACTATGACTTAATATATTTTTTCATTTCCATTTCTGTATGCCTCAGTGGTACCCACAGATAAAGGCAACCATAATCCAGAGGGAACATTTAAGACATAATTATTAATAATTAGGTGTCCCCGGGACTCCCATGTTCGAGATAAATCCCTGCTGTAACTATGTTGTACCAATAACTACACCAGTCAGCCGTCCAATAGGGAAGTGGTCACAGGCAAAGAATTTTTGGTGAACAAATGCATGTTATTGTTCTCTCGATGCAGGAAACTACACGATGTCAATGAGACAGTCATGTCCTACACCATTGTTCGGCAACATCTCTCGACAACATTATCAAATTCTTTACCTTTGACACCTCCAATACAATAGCCTTACAAAAAGCCTCATGGGTGTCACCATCAACTCATCATTTCCTTCAAGGTTACTGATGGGATTACTCAGTAATATATGACAAGATCATTCGAAATCACGTCCAGTCATCAGCAATAACAGTACCACCACCAAGAATGAAGGTCACATGCCACCTTAACAACCATCCTATCATACTGACAAGAAGTGCAGTCAAAGATCTTCACTGTCAGCAAACTAATGTTATTATTAACATCATCATTATTATTTATAGAATTATTTCCAATCAATATCTGCTCAATTCTCTTAAAAATTGAATGGTCTTTTTATTACTCATCAGATCTGTGTCCACTGACGTTTTTTTATTCTCAACTCCCTGGGGAGTGTACAACCCAAGCCGCCTGTTATGTGCTAGAATGTTAACAGTCACCACCACTATTGCCAGCATGAACCCATTCCCTGTTGGGTGAACAGAGGCATGTTCCTAACAGGCACCTGTCGGAGGGGACATGCTTCAGTGTAAGGACTGACTAGTTAAGTGATACCAAATATGGTCACCGATCAGCTACTCTCTGTAACCAACAATGCTCAACTTCACCTAATTATGAACAGGGGTGGAAATAACTTTAAAATTGCTAGTGTACTCCGGTACAGTGGCACATGTAAAATCACTTGCCCTGATAATTTTTCCACTATACCGGCCGTTTTCTTATTGATTTTTAAATAAACAACATAATTAATATTGGAAAGTCAACTGGACACCGGTACAGTGTGATATACAAATTTGCTTGCCCGACAGAAAAAAACACTAGACTCGGGCGTCGGGCAATGGGTTATTTCCACCCCTGATGACCTGTGCGATATGTACAGGTCCACATGCCGCCAAGAGATCATCACGACGACGGGATAATCTCCATACTTTGATCACTGCTAGGTCAACATCCCCCTATGGCTACTTCACACTAATGTAAAAATTATACACCATGGGTCAAAATAATGAAAAGATAATCTGCAACCAAATGTCTAGTTTGTAAGTTATGAGATTAGTTTTAAGGAGGATATCACTATGATGAGGATACCATCTCTGCTCACATTCAAGAAGCCATTACCCTATGCTAGCAAACTACAACACATAAGTATGGATTCAAATAATGGAGAAGAAGAAAAACAAATACAGGCTTTTATATAGGGAAAACTACATTTCAAAACTGAGATATGAAATAAAGCTATGTTCCCGATATGTAGACCTGGTCCTTTATAGACCTACTACAGCGATCTCACAGCCCTCCTACAGCCCTTCCCACTTCTATCACCTGTGCACAATTCACATAAAAGTCGTTGTTATTCAGGGCAGGAGACAAATGACTGTGTCTCCACCAGGAATGTAAGGATGCCATTAGTAGTGACAGTTTTAAATCTTTTCAGATATCTGGCTGCTGGTAGGCCACAGCAATACATCAGCCCAACTGACACGTGGTGGATGCAGGCGAAATAATAATAACAACAGGCATCATGTCTTATGATTACTCGGATATATTCCTAGGAGGCTAAATATACTACTCAAAGAACATAAAGAACACCATATTACTATCCAAGATATTTTTATGGATTAAACTTCTTTGTAATTTTACACCAAATATAAAAATATCTTGGACATCAATGTACAACTTCTAAATGCCACTGAAAGACACCATATTACGACATATTTCAATAGTTAATCATGCCAGGCTAGGCACAGTAATATGAAAGAATTGGGTGTTTTTTAACTTCTTTTGGTCAGCATGCTTCAATAATGTGTTTGTTGTTTATCGAAGGAAATATAGTACAATACTACATGATTCAAAAAATTAACAAATATTTGTGTGTTTGGAGTATATATCAATCCTTCAAGTTTTGGATACTTCTTCCTAGTCATTTTGTACATGTTACACTCTAAAACTGAAAAAGCTATTATAAATCACCTGCATATTCGGTGAATCGAACCGTATTCCTTCATGAATTCAATTTATGAATAATAACTAAAATGAAATATACATGAATTGTTAATAAAGAGAGTTTTTTACTTGAATTTGTCATTGATCATAGTAAGATTTGCAAAAATGGTCGATATCCAAGCCAAGGAGGAAAATACAGTGAACAGTTCTTGAGATATCTCGCTGACAAGCTTAACATGCAGCTTAACATGCTGAAATCTTCAGAGTGTTCAGACCAAAATCGACTGGGCCCTGCGCCTTCCCTAGATAAAGCTTGGTGTTGAATATGAAGAAAATCCAGTGAACGGTTCTTGAAATATCTCGCTGACAAGGGTAAAACGTTAAAGTCCCCTTGTGACCTTGAAATGAAGGTCAAGGTCACCAAACCTGACTGGGACCTTTCTTTTACTGTGATGAACTTGGGTACCAAATATGAAAAGAATCCAGTCAACGGTTCTTAAGATATTCCAATTCGTACGTACTGACGTACGGACCTACGGACAGATGGAGCCTAATACTATATCCCCCGCTTCGCGTTAAACGCGCGGCGGGGGATAATAATTATTTTGTTGTTATTTCACTATACATGTTGACTAAAACATCAACCAAAGACATGTTATGGCATTACTGAAAAATTCCTAATCGTTTTGATATATTCATGGTTGTATCGTATTCACCTGATTCATGGCAGCCTCACTGGATTTTGTCAAAACTACATTGCTCTGTCCCTTCAAGCTATCCTTGTGCTAGGAATACTAAACACTCTATTCTTTAACACAGACTTAACCTCAATATAGTCTAGCACAGACTCACAACTGCCAAAGCTTCAAGTCAAAATGAAAAGATCACAGCATAGAACAAAGCATGGCCAACCATCAATGTTATAATCTTGCATACAATGCCATGTCACTGTTGAACAGATTGTTATTCAGACATCTACTTCATGTAACATCAGTGAGTGGGTGAGTGACTTCAGTTTTACGCCACTTTTGCAATATTCCAGCAATATCATGGCGAGGGGCACCAGAAATGGTCTTCACAAATTGTACCCATCTGGGCAATAGAACCCGAGTCTTCGGCGTGATGAGTGACTGCTTTAACCACTGAGCTACCCCATCACTCGGCAACATTGGTGTAATCATCATTTACATCATGCCATTACCAGCAGCAAGATGCTGCCATTAGTGCAGCAAGGTGCTGCCATTACCAGCAGCAAGATGCTGCCATTAGTGCAGCAAGGTGCTGCCATTAGTGAGTGAGTGAGTGAGTTGCTGTTCATGTCTAAACAGTATTCCTAAGTGAGGGTACAGTATTCCCTCAAATAAGGATATTGCTGTCAAACCAATAAGCATAACTAGGATTTGAACCCATGATCATGACTCTGGGCTGACATTTGTGCAAGTGTATGTGGTTTGAAGCCAAAGCCAACAATATTTCATTTTGTCACTTCTCTGAAGCCACTAAACTAGCTGTCACAGAGCCTTGCCACTACATCCAATTTGGTTGCCTCTGAGGACCAGTAGGATGATGCTGAGAACTTATCTTAACTCAACTATGTGTAATTAAATCAAACTGACCTTGGTTTTTTACTTCAGCGAACTCATGATTGTACTCGTCGAGTGTCTCCCGTAGCTGCTTGTTTTCCAGTTCAAGGTCCTGGGCCCGCTGTGCCTTCTTCTGGATCTGCAGTGCGTGGTCCAGCACCGGAACTGGGTCTGATAGGGCAGAGCAGAACGTGTAGGACAAAGCAGAATGTGTAGGATAGAGCAGAAGTATGACTGATGTACAGGAACATGGAGTCTCATAGAACAGAGAGGAACATGTAGGTCTGATCTACAGGGACACAGAAAAGGGGTCTCATAGAACAGAGAGGAACATGTAGGTCTGATGTACACGGACACACAGAAGGGGTCTTGTAGGACAGAGCAGAACACGTAGGCCTGATCTACAGGGACACAGAAAAGGGGTCTCATAGGACAGAGCGGAACATGTAGGTCTGATGTACAGGGACACACAGAAGGGGTCTTGTAGGACAGAACGGAACATGTAGGAGGTCTGATGTACAGGGACACACAGAAGGGTCTCATAGGACAGAGCGGAACATGTAGGTCTGATGTACAGGGACACACAGAAGGGGTCTTGTAGGACAGAGCGGAACATGTAGGTCTGATGTACAGGGACACACAGAAGGGGTCTTGTAGGACAGAGCAGAACATGTAGGTCTGATCTACAGGGACACACAGAAAGGGGTCTCATAGGAAAGAGTGGAACATGTAGGTCTGATGTACAGGGGACACACAGAAGGGGTCTCATAGGACAGAAGCGGAACATGTAGGTCTGATGTACAGGGACACACAGAAGGGGTCTAGGACAGAGCGGAACATGTAGGTCTGATAGGACAGAAGAGCTCATAGGACAGAGCACATGTAGGTCTGATGTACAGGGACACACAGAAGGGTCTTGTAGGACAGACAGAACATGTAGGTCTGATGTACAGGGACACACAGAAGAGGTCTTGTAGGACAGAGCAGAACATGTAGGTCTGATGTACAGGGACACACAGAAGGGGTCTTGTAGGACAGAGCAGAACATGTAGGTCTGATGTACAGGGACACACAGAAAAGGGGTCTCATAGGACAGAGCGGAACATGTAGGTCTGATGTACAGGGACACACAGAAGGGGTCTCATAGGACAGAGCGGAACATGTAGGTCTGATGTACAGGGACACACAGAAGGGGTCTTGTAGGACAGAGCAGAACATGTAGGTCTGATGTACAGGGACACACAGAAGGGTCTTGTAGGACAGAGCAGAACATGTAGGTCTGATGTACAGGGACACACAGAAGGGGTCTTGTAGGACAGAGCAGAACATGTAGGTCTGATGTACAGGGACACACAGAAGAGGTCTCATAGGACAGAGCGGAACATGTAGGTCTGATGTACAGGGACACACAGAATAGGACAGGGACATGTAGGTCTGATGTACAGGGAACAGGGGTCTTGTAGGACAGAGCAGAACATGTAGGTCTGATGTACAGGGACACACAGAAGGGTCTTGTAGGACAGAGCAGAAGCAGAACATGGGTCTGATGTACAGGGACACACAGAAGGGGTCTCATAGGACAGAGCGGAACATGTAGGTCTGATGTACAGGGACACACAGAAGGGGTCTTGTAGGACAGAGCGGAACATGTAGGTCTGATGTACAGGGACACACAGAAGAGGTCTCATAGGACAGAGCGGAACATGTAGGTCTGATGTACAGGGACACACAGAAGGGGTATTATTGGACAGAACGGAACATGCAGGAATAAGCAGAAGTAGAACTGATGTACAAGGACACATGGACAAGGTCTTGTAGGACAGAGCGGAACATGTAGGACCGATACACAGATAGCTGGGTCTCGTAGGACAGAAAGATTGGTATACTGAAACACAGGGACAGGGTCTTGTGGGACAGAGCAGAATGTGAAGCATATTAAGAAACAAACTGAACAGTACCTGGCAGATCTATTAATTTCTTGTATATGGAGAGGAATGCTGCCTCTGCTGCCTTGCTGCGTTTTGAAAGAGCGTCGATCTCGCCTTGAAAACTTCTTAAAACTGGAGCTACTATTTTGCGAATGTCCTGCAAGATAAGAGATCCACTGTAACTTCAATGGAGCAACAACATGCAGTAGAATCACATGAAGTCACAACAGAAGTCACAATAACAGTCACAATAACAGCCACGGCAACAGTCATAGCAACAGTCACGACACACAAACCAAGGCGCTTCCAACATTGCACCACATGACATTCCAATAAAGGCAAAAACCTTCAAGACTGTTCAGTAGTTTCTTGGTTTCATGATATAATGTCTCTGAAGATAGCTGTCTAGTTTATCACCAACACCAAGTCAAATGTTTTGGTCAGATGATGACGTGGAATATACATACACTGTAATTTAGTGAATCAGTCAGATCATGATCCAGTGATTCAATTACAGAATGATCTTGCATATCAGTAAAGGCCAAACAATGAAGTAGTGTGTCAGTTGAACCATGGTCTTCTGAATCAGTTAGACTATGATCCAGAGTATCAGTTAGACCATGATCTAGTGTACTGTTTACACTATGATTTGGTGAATCAGCTCCACCATGATCCACTGTTGTGGATACACCATGACTCAGTGTACAAGTCAGTGAATTCACCATGACCCAGTGTTTTGGTTTGACATGATCAAGCGTTTTGGTTGGACCACGATCCAGCGTTTTGGTTGGACCATGATCGAGCGTTTTGGTTGGACCATGATCCAGTGTTTTGGTTGGGCCATGATTAAGGTTTTGATTGGACCATGATTCAGTGTTTGGGTTGGACCACGATCCAGTGTTTTGGTTGGACCATGATCCAGTGTTTTGGTTTGACCATGATCCAGTGTTGTGGTTTGACCATGATCCAGTGTTTTGGTTGGACCATGATCCAGTGTTTTGGTTGGACCATGATCCATGTTTTGGTTGGACCATGATCCATGTTTTGGATGGACCACGATCCAGTGTTTTGGTTGGACCATGATTAAGGTTTTGGTTGTACCATGATCCATGTTTTGGTTTGACCATGATCCAGTGTTTTGGTTGGACCATGATCCAGTGTTTCGGTTTGACCATGATCCAGTGTTTTGGTTGGGCCATGATTAAGGTTTTGATTGGACCATGATTCAGTGTTTGGGTTGGACCACGATCCAGTGTTTTGGTTGGACCATGATCCAGTGTTTTGGTTGGACCATGATCCAGTGTTTCGGTTTGACCATGATCCAGTGTTTTGGTTTGACCATGATCCAGTGTTTTGGTTTGACCATGATCCAGTGTTTTGGTTTGACCATGATCCAGTGTTTTGGTTGGACCATGATCCAGTGTTTCGGTTTGACCATGATCCAGTGTTTTGGTTGGGCCATGATTAAGGTTTTGATTGGACCATGATTCAGTTGATCATCTGAAGGACCATGAACTACAATTCTTACCATGTGACCATGATTGAAGGAAAGTGATAGTGCTGGCCCATGATCCGAAATTTGAATGGTTTGAGGACATGTCAAGCCATTCAATGATGCAATAGATGTGCCATACTTTGTAAAGTTCAATGACTGACAAACTCAAGTATGAAACTCAAATCCTATGCATAAAATTTCCTTGCATGAATTACAGGTTAGAAATATCTTATCATTGTGGTGTGTATACGTTATTTCTTGACTGCACAATACTCAATAGTCTTCATTGACAGAAAGCCTAGTCTGAATAAAAATGCTCGGATAATCATTTGAATAACAGTCATGTGCCATGATAAAAATACCAAAATGAAAATTGAATTCTACGAATTTCATATTTTAATCATTCTTTCAGTGACAACCATGACAAATAGACATTTAATTTATTTATGTTGGAGGAAGCGGCGATTGAAATATAGGAGATAAACACACCACGATGAGGTGCTGAAATCAATATGCCAGTGAATGGCACAAGAAATGTAACCAGCAATATATAATTCAATTTATATGCAATTACCATTTTTACACCAATATATGACTTCTTACGACAAGCCAAATGTGACGAGATGATGCTTGTCGCTATAGCTGCGGCTGCTCAACCAGTGACATGAAGTAGAGTTTTTGGTAATATCTCCCAGTGGGTGGTTCCTCAATCAATATTTGTCTCTAAGTTCTACCCTCAATGGTTCCTACACATCAATGCTCCTCTGCAAACTGTTAAATGCCATTTGCGAATTATTTACCAATTTACCGAGCCTTTCCCCGTAACTGTCAGAAATGCTTAAGGATACAATTAGCTGTCATGCTAGGTCAAGGTTACTCTACCAAAACTGCCCTGCTGCAACAGCATTTCACCATGACCTTTCATCTTGTAGACTGTACCTGTAATGATAACTCAAATACACGCTGTATGTACCCGTGATACATGTACCCCTTTGCTGCAAGTACACTTAAAGGTGAGCCTTAATACCTGTTGCAGGTGCTCTTAATAATGAACTGTCAGCTTTTACGCTCAGTCATTACACCAATGTCTTCCTGATTCCATTGAACACACATGCACATACACAAACATATCACCGCCTTTACCCTGCAATGGAGTGTTCTGTCGTTCCTTGCTCATTCTTACCATGTAGTCCAATAGCTTCTCAACTTGTCACCCCACAGCCCCCTCCCTCACTGTTCTCTGTTCCTAACCCCATCTGTCCTCTTCCCCACACCCCACCATCTCCACTCCTTGACCTCCGCTATCTTCTCCACACTGTGCCTTTGCCTTAACTTTCTTCCCTCTTGTTCCCCCAGTCCTCTCTCTTGACCCCCACAATCCTGTCTCCTTCAACCCCCACAGCTCTCTCCCCTTTGCCCCCAAATTTTCCCCATCCTCGCACCCAACTGTCCTCCCTACTTGCGTCCCCACTGTCCTCTACCCTGACCCCACCCACTCCCCCAGTCATCTTCATCTTGACCCCAAGCTCTTGTCCCCTCGACCCGATAATCTTCCCCACCTTTGTCCCCATTGTCCTCTCCCCATTGACCCTACAGCCTCCTCCCTCGCTCCCCCTGCCCTCACAGCCTCTCAATCACCCTTCCCTGTATCTATCCCCAGCTCCCCTTCCCCATCCTTCTTTCAGGCGATCAACCAACTGGTTAACATCATTGAGCGAGGCAAAACAATGGCACAGTTTATCCCAGCAAGAGCGGTCTGTAACAAGGAATGTTTATAGAGTAGCAACATCAAAGATTAATGAAAGTGATGCTGGCCCCTTCAACCAAACTTCACCTCCCCTTCAGACAGCCAATAAAAAACCTGATTCCATGCATTATATAAGCAGGAAAAAAGACATCTGCAGCAATAGATTTTCAGTCTTTCTGCTTCCCTCTCAAATTACCCAGTGATATACGTAGCACCATGAGCCTGTGGCTGTCTCTGCCCCCCTTTGGTTCGTTATCTCTACTTTAATTAGTTCTATAAACTCCCCACTAGCTTCATTTCCTGTGGACGGTGACTGACTTGACTGGGATATTCAGGCACAGGGCAATTGTTTCATTCTAATCAAGCCAGAAACACTGGACTGGGATCAGACAGCATGTAGACAGCATGGGTGCTACAGGGTGGGTGGATAGTGTGGATAGTGTGGAGGGTATGTAGGGTTGTATACAGGGTGGGTGTGATAGTCTACAGGGTGGGTGTGGAAGGTATGTAGGGTACACAGGGTGGGTGGGATAGTGTGTGAGGTATGTAGGGGTTGTATACAGGTTGGGTGGGATAGTGAGGGTAGGGTGGGTAGGGTTGTGTGGGATAGTATACAGGGTGGGTGGGATAGTATACAGGGTGGGTGGGATAGTGTGGAGGGAAGGTTGGGGGATAGTATACAGGGTAGGTGGGATAGTATACAGGGTGGGTGGGGTAGTATACAGGGTTGGTGGGATAGTATACAGGGTGGGTGGGATAGTGTGGAAGGGAGGTGGGATAGCGTTGAGGGTATGTAGGGTTGTACACAGGGTGGGTGGGGTAGTCTACTGGGTAGGTGGGACAGTGTGGAAGGTAGGTGGGATAGTGTGGAGGGTATGTAGGATTGTATACAGGGTGGGTGGGATAGTTTGGAAGAATTGTATACAAGAAAGTTGAGATAGTATAGTAGGTGGACAGCATACAGGGCAGGTTGAATAGTATACAGGGCATGTGGGAAAGTATGGAGGGTTGTATACAGGGTAGGTGGGACAGTGTGGAGGTTTGTATACAGGGTAGGTGGGATAGTGTGGAGCATTGTATGTAGGACAGGTGGGATAGTATACAGGGTATGTCGGATAGTACATAGGGGAGGTGGGATAGTGGTGAGGGTAGGTGAGATAGTATACAGCCTGGGGGAGGACAGTGTTAAGGATTGTATACAGGGTAGGTGGGATAGTGTGGTGGATTGTATACAGGGTAGGTGGGATACTTTGTATGGCATGTGGGATAGTATACAGGGCTGGGTAGGGGTGGGTGTGGGCGGAATGTGAAGGATTGTATACAGGGTGGGGGAGGATAGTATACAGGGTAGGTGGGATAGTGTGGAAGATTGTATGTAGGGTAGGTGGGATATCATACTATAGGGTAGGTGGGATAGTATACAGGGTAGGTAGGATAGTGTGAAGGATTGTATACAGGGTGGGGGGGGTGATTGGAGGGAGGGAGTGTGGAAAATTGTATACAGGGTGGGCGGGGTTGTATAATGGGTAAGTGGGATAGTGTGTAGGATATTTAGGATTGCATACAAGGTAGATGGGATAGTATGTAGAATCTGTAGGGTTGTTACAGGGAGGGATACTATGTAGGTAAGTATATATGGGATAGGATGGGTAGTGCGTTGGGTACGTAGGATTGTGTACAGGGTAGATGAGATAATGTGTAGTGTATGTTAGACAGTGTATCTGTGTATGTGAAAAAGTGTTTCAGGGTGTCTGTGATGCTATATCAATCTCTGTGTCTGAGATTGTGTAATCAGTGTGTGTGGTGTATCAGAGCGTAAGGATCGATTATTAGAGTATCTTGTATAATATATCAGGTTAAGTAGGGTTGTCATCGTCATCGTCATCATCATCACAACCATCATCATCATCATCAT